CATTGAAATAGGGTTGCTGAATAGCTAGTTATAAATTGAGAAATTATCCGCCCAGTTACTAACAAAATGTGGCACATTAAGTGACCAGGAATTTTATATTATAGTGGAACGTAAATCGGATCTAATTGCACTGATTCCGAGTAATTTACCTTCGCTACATTTTGTTTGATAAATTGAATAGTCTTAAAAGCTTTCTCTTAATAGCTAACCTGATTTACACTGGTATCGGTAATGTACAAGATTTTAATTATTGTCTGGATATTAAGATGATTCCTTATAATGTAATAGTACAACCGCATCATCTGGTTGAAGTGAGTACTAGAAATGCTCAGATGCTTCATTCGTTGTCTTTTGTGTTTCAAAATTACATTCCGTTTGATAATTAATATTTATAATAAATAATATTATAATATAATAATATAATAATTAATATGTTTGTTATATCAATATTATTGCTGATTGTTAAATCAATAGCATTGTTGATTATATTACATCAGTAGATTGTTGATTGTATGACATCAATAGCATTGCTGGTTGTATTACATCAATAGCATTGTTAATTGCATTACATCAATAGTCAGCTTATTGTTGATTGTACGACATTAATAGTATATTCATTGTATGACATCAATAGCATTGTTGATTATATGACATCAGTATATTGTTGATTATATGACATCAATAGCAATGTTGGTGGTATTACAACAAAAGCATTGTTGATTGTCACATCAATAGTCAGTTTATTGTCGATTGTATAACATCAATAGTGTTACATCGATTACATGTTGTCGATTACATGACATCAATTGTATTGTTGATTTTTACATCAATTATATTGTTGATTTTTACATCAATAGTGTTGTTTATTATGTTATATCTATAGTACTATTTATGGTATGACATCATTGACAGCGTTCGTTGTATAAATAGTATTAGTCGGGGCTACATAACAGCCCCGACTATATTGTGAATTGTATTACCGGTACGTCATTAATATTCTTGAATGTATGTTACATCAAGAGTATTTGACATCAATAGCATTGTCGATTGTATTACATCAATAGTATTGTCGATTGTATTACAACAATAGTATTGTCGATTGTATTACAACAATAGTATTGTTGATTGTATTACATCAATAGCATTGTCTATTGTATTATTACAACAATAGTATTGTTGATTGTATTACATCAATAGCATTGTCTATTGTATTATTACAACAATAGTATTGTTGATTGTATTACATCAATAGCATTGTCGATTGTATTACAACAATAGCATTGTCGATTGTATTACATGAATAGTATTGTTGATTTTATGACATCAAGAGGTTATTTAATTGTTGCATCAATAGTATTGTCGATTGTATTACATCAATAGCATTGTCAAATGTATGACATCAATAGTGTTGCCGATTTAATTACATCAATAGCATTGTAGATTGTATTACATCAATGGCATTGTTGTCAATTGTATTACATGACTGAACAATAT